GATACAAACTCGTTTCGGGTACTTAGACACCACAGCCATGGAAACCGGCAGATAAAAGAGATCTCTCTGCACTCCGTTCCCAAGACAATGAGGTCTACTTAACCGGGACGGACTCAGACTTTTATCAAAGACTGTCAACTCTGAGGAATTTTGTCGCTACAACAATAATATTTCTCTCTGCACACGTTTTGTATTTTTATTCTTTCTGACAGACTTTGATCACTTCATGTATTAACAATCATCAATCAAGATCGATGCTTTTCAAAGTCTTTAAGCTGTAGTCACAGGGCAAGTTAGAATATATGTATGTATTTTGTATTTCTGGGGTGATATCACTGAAGTTGAGTACAATATGTATTTCGATATTCTTATTTAAGAACTCTTTTTTCCGACTCATCCTTCTGGGTCAGGGTATATAGTAAGAAGGTAAATGGATTTGGATTCGCGCTCAGGAAAGTTCTTTCCATATTTATAGGAGCTTAAATTAGACACTGCGCCAACGGGCAGTGAGATTTAAAACTAATTGAATAATTAGCTTGGAAGAGMAAGAGATAGAATCACCGCCTTCCTTCTAGAATGTCGCGCTTTTGTCAAAACAAGACTAAAATACCTTCGATCTCTCGACGTTAGACACCCTAGTCAAATAACGAAAATAGAAATAAAGTAAAWAGCAGTTAAAAAATAGTTTTACCTGCTAATAGTAAAATAGTTTRTAGTGAAGAAAATAGTAAGAAAGTGTGATAGATTCAAGGTGTAGAGTGTCCAACAACAGGAATTCTAATCTGGTTTCACACGGAACTGTATTTAGCAGTCTAAATGTGATCTCTCACCRTCTTAGAAGATCCATCTTCTTAACTAAGCTAATCTAATATTCATAAATCTATAAGTTTTGGGGTCTTTGTTAAAAGCTAGAAGAAGAAGGTCGGGATCATAGCATTATGTATTAAGCTCAATATTCTGGAGAGGAAATGTGGAACAACGAATGATCTGATACACTCGGAGCGTTAATTTAGAAGAACATGATAAAAGAATAAAATAAAAAATTGTAGAAGAGTAAAAAAAATAATAAGAAAACTAATGAAATGAAAGCTAAATAAGCTAAATGAATAAAACAATTCAAATATATATTGATTAAAATATTTTTAAATAAAATTAATAACAAATCAATTAATATTATAAAAATCATTATCCAGTCTCCTAACACACCATCAAAAACCTACAAAAATAAATAAAAACTAGAAACAAAAGCAAAACGTACTGGTGCACAAAAAATCCATTTCTCGTTCGCCAGTGTGCACAATCGAACAATTTAAGTGATTAACAACAGCAACATCAAACTAAAAAATAATTCCAAAAATTTTATTTCAGTATTAGAGACGTGTAAAAAATACTAAATGTGAATAAAGAACAGTGCAGAAGAACTGAGATTTTGCGATTTACATAAAAAGCGCTTGTGATAAAAACAAAAACAAAACATAAAAACTAAGAAACACTTTCTTACCGAATCAAAAGACTTGAAAACACTTCAAAAATCGAAACCAACTTGTACACAATAGTTAGCAATGGATATTGATTACCTCGCTTACCTGGAGACCTTTTGGGCCTATTTCCCCTACCTCTTCTACAGCTTCGTCTTCCTCACGCTCATACCGAAATCGCTGCGCCGCATCAAAACTTTCGCCGACGCCGACTACGAAGCCAATCGTCACAAATACCATCGCTGCTATGCGCCGGACATCTGCTGTCACACAATGGGCGAAGCGCTGCCCAAGCCGAAGCCACGCAAAGCCGTAACACGCGTCTACCCGAAACGACACAGCACGGCGGGCACCACCAACACCGAAGCATACTACRGCGGCAAACAGGACGCGACGCCGTCTCCAACAGTCAATCACATAAAAAGACAAGTAGAACCGGCATCCATACAAACCAACACGCATGTCAATCAAATTGCGAAAATGTTCGAGAATGTGCCAACGGTGACGGTGTCACCCGCGCTGTTGGGCAAGAAAATCAACCGCGTCACACCAACTATACAATCGCTGGATGAATCCACCAGCGCCATTGAGGACGTCACGCATGCATCGCCACCAACGCCAAAGTCAAYGCTGAATGTATCGCGCCTATCGCAGCTCCTCTCACAGGAGCAACTGGAGAATTCGCTGAGTTTGTTGCAAGAGACAAACACGGATGAAGAACAGAATTGCTGGCGTGACTCACCGCCACGACGCACGAAACGTCGCGCCGATGCGCCCTCCTCATTACATTACAACGGCGCCGGCACATCGACAACGCCATCGACCGCCTCGCCAGTCGCCTCATCACCACCCTCCGACTCGCCGCCATTATCCGTCTCGCCGCTCGCCTCATCGCCGGTGCTCTTCCGTCCGCAATTGAGTATGAAATCCAGTTTGGAGGATATTTTCGCCGCCATCGCGCGCAACGCCGAGAAAACTGAGAATTTCATCTACGCCGGCTGCAAGTCACTGTCGCCCGTCACCTCCATCGATGACATACTGTCGCAGCGTCGCCTGTCGCGTCCGCTCTCGGCGTACTCGATCAGCGATCTGTTGAATGAGGAGAGCAACAGCACAGCCATGGATGAGGCGCGCGTGGAGAATTTTCTGTCAGTGCTGAACAAAACTTGAACGCGGCGCAAGCGCTAGTGCAAGTGCATGCGCGGCAGCGTCAGCGCGCAACAGTTGGCGCGTTCACCATATGCGCACTTGTATTTGTAAAAGTGTGCGTGTATATACGTATTGAAGTATATTTGGTGTGTTTGGGGCTGTGAAGTAGTTTATGAAATCAAGGATGGGTGTGTACTTTTAGTTAGCATGTGCTTGCTTTCCGCTCCTACGCATGCATTTCTGTGTGTGTGTGTGTGTGTGTGTGTGTGTGTGTGTAGCTCACTGTAATATAAATCGTATGTGCATTAGCCTTAAGTTATATAGCGTTGTAAAAGTTGACAGCCAGCGCCTAGTAGTCGCTTCGCAGTGAAATGTCAAAGTGCCATGCAAGCAACGCCTCAGCAACAACAACAACAAAAAGTGAATAAAAAACAGCAAAAGCTGCCGCTTCGCACATATTTGTATAGTTTGAGATATGTGTGTCGCAAGCGCGCGCCTGTCTGACAAGCGCTCCGGCGCGCAGTTGCAGCTGCAGCTGTGCCAGCGATGAGTCAGCGYGGCCAAAGCGCACGTCAGTCACAAGTCAGCGCCAAGTTTGCGGAATTCGAAAATGAAAGAAGTTTCAAAAGAAAAAAATACATAAAAAAAAGTATTCTTCTTTAATATTTTTCTATGCAATGCGCTTAGTTGTTGTTGTTGTTGTAAAATGTGTGCAGCGTCCAGTCGGAAACAAAACTGTGAATATCCAATTAATTTTTATGACTTTATTATTGTGTAACGCTTTGTACGCGCATAAATTGTAATTCTTATTGCTCACACTGCGGTTACACGACTATTTAAATGATTACAGTTACATGTTGCAGTACACGTATGTATGTGTGTATGACATATTTGCAAGTATATAGAGACAAACACATACATATATATACTGACTTCAATTGCTGCACAAATAATTTCAAATCACAAAGCAAAGCAAAATACAGAAAAGAAAAAATAAAATATCCAACAACAGCAATTGAGCAGTTATTTACTCGTAACTACTTGACTAGTAAGCCACTAAATGCAGGCAGCAAATCTTTTGCTTGTCTCAAGTCTTATCTAACTATAATTATCTGTCAATTTAAATCATTAAACTGTAGTCCAACTAATGTCTTGTCATTACTTTTGCTTTAGCCTCGCTTACGCTCGTGTAAGCCACGCTAAGCGTGAATTTAAATAAATATGCTTATTAAAATTGTATTTGTTGTAAATGTTTGAGTATGAGCTGTACTTATTATGTAATATTTATATTATGAATTATGCAAATAGCTGAACTATCTATTAAAATACATATGTACATCTTTACAAATAGATTGAATGGCGGCGATTACATTGCAGTTGTGACGCCTCTTTATTGCTAGTTTTGTACACGTACATATGTATGTATGTATTTATATACTTTATTTTAAACGAAACTTTAATGCCAGTATCTCACGAACGACTAATACAACTGTATGTATAACGCTAACGATTGTATATATTAATTTTTTAAGTATTAACAAATTTATGAAGTGTAAATAAATGAAAAATAAATCGAACTTTTGCTATTTTTAGCAACATTACTAAGTGGTTTTAATTAATTTTTTCTTTAGCAAATTTTTTAAAAATATAATTTTTTTTTCCTTAAAATATTTATTTTTTTTTTTTTTACAAAAGAAGAGTTAGTTTTAGGGCGAGATTAAATTGCCAATAACGGATATTTTTGTAAAAAAAATTAAAATTTTAAATTTCATACTTTTACTTATGCAATTAATAATTTTAGAGCAAATTTGATACTTTTTTGAAAAAAGAATTATATATTAGTAAGGTAGTAGGTATATTGTAAAAAGTACATAATGGCCAACTTAAAAAAGGCGGATTTTAAAAACTGAAAAAAGTACACACCATTTTCTTAATTTGAATTGTAATTTATTCATATCGTCACCTAAAATGCAAAATAACAAATAACATCACTTTTCAAAAGTTTACAGGCGAAGGAAAAATGACATCAAAGAAACCACTCAAATTGAAACCAAATCTTTGTTTTGGTTATATACAGGTAACGATATGTATTTCATATTAAGCAGTAAAATTTTTGAAGAAAAAATTAARTAAGTGGTTCCGGCCTTCTTGTAAATGTAGGCAAAATCTATATACAGAACTTATAGAATCAAGCAAAGAAGCGCTAACTTCGGGTGCCACCGAACATTTTATACTCTTGCAACTTGCTAGAATTAAAGCCAGGGAAATTGGTTAAGGTGCAAACTGTGAATCAGAAGATAGAAATGCAAGCAATTAAATATTATATACAGTTGAAATTTCCTAATTCGAATTATCATTATTCATAAACAAACTTCGAGTTAGAGAGACTGCGAGTTATGGAAAGAAATTTGAATGAAATTTGACTTCAAGTGTTCGAGTAATGGAGAAGTTCGAGTTATGGCAGGTCAAATGTATATATACTAAAATGATCAAACGAATTTAAGGCTCTGTGTCTATAATTTTAAAATTCCTAATTTATTCTTTAAAATCTATGTCAAAGTAATCCTCCTTGGTTCCAATATTCACGTTTTTGTTTTCAATTCTCGAAACAGTTGTTAAAGTCAATTTCCCGATTAGTCTTCAATGTGCGTAGCTGATTTACATTTATTGTCAATTGACTCAGAACGGTTTCGCCGTTTTCATGACATCAGAAAACACTGTTGCACAGACTTTAACGCGACGCTAATTTTCGAAAAAATGTAGTAATTTTGGAACTATGCTTTCACTTTTCTTAAGCCTGAATGATCTTTCAAAATGCATATTCCAACGATGTCATACCATCCTGGAAGAAGTGTAGACCAGTAGTTCTCCCTCTAGTTTCCACCTGTATTAATTTGGAAGGGAGGGGATGAGTTGTCGAGAGATAATTTATCGATTAGGATTTTGCTTTCGTGAGACAATTACAGAGAAAACACACATGCCCCGCGGTTCCAGCAGGGAAACCGTAGTTATGAGGAGTATTGCCAAGGTAAAAGCAATAATTTATCTTTGTGCAAGTCGCTGGTAAGTTTTCAATCTAAGCACCCGTTCAGCAGTTCATTCCATTTTATTTCAATTCCTCTGGGATTACAAAAGAGCCGTGTCTATTTGTTTAAAATGCGATATAATGAGTTATTTAGTTATTGTAAAGCAGGTTTAGTTTTATTTTTCACTCAGATTTATTGTGGGTTAGGTCAGGTTAGATAAATAACATAATAATCTCGCGAAGCTACGAAAATTTCAACATGTGCAGCTAGAACGGATGGCCGTTGTAATACCCAGAATTCCTAGGTATAAATCAAAAAGATTGTCGCGTATTGAAAAAAAAAAGTTAGCGGCGCTTAATATGTATCATTTGAAGCCAATACGATTACTTCGTTAAATTTGCTTTAACTTTAGTTTGGCGAAAGCTAAGAAGTGGAGGTGAAAGTGTCGGGGTTTACTTTACGCAACAGAGAATTTTGCATAACATCGGCTGAATATATATATATACATATATACAGACATATAGTGACAGCATTTATAACTTCTAATCTGAACATGAAATTGAATGCTTTATCTTGCCAAAACTCGATCTCGTTCTTTTATTTTTTCACCCTCACTTATTCTACTAAACTCTTCGTCAAATTGCTGTTTCCTCAATTTTAAGGTTCATTATATAAATAAGAAAGTGCAGTACTTTGATGGATTTTGATTGTTCTAAAACTTTACTATTCTAAGAACTCAGTCTAGTCACGCCCACTTTCCCACTTCTATATAAATATATATGGTGTGGCTGCGAGTGTTGGCTTGTGTTTGAGTGCACTCAATTCAAAATTATCTTTCATGTTTCTTCAATTGACGCAAATTAATTTATTTAAAGTGTGTACGCTTTCAGCTATTAGCATCATAAATAATAACAAATTGAGCGGAAGACATTTTTATGTAACGAACATGTACATACGTACATATATACATATGTACTATATACTATATATGTACATACATATTTAGTGCAAGAAAAGCAAATTTTGAAGAAAATATTCTTGGTCGACGACACTCCTACCTCTATAAAGAAATAACCTTTAGTTACTTTAGGGTGGTTTGATATTGTGCTCGAGTTATAGCTAAATTTGTATGTATTGCATTGTACATTCATATTCTCAATACGGTCGTGGCATAGAGTATATCGCTATGTATATAAATATGCCAATTAAAGTGCTGACCTAAATTTAGGAAGACGCCTGCATTTAAATGTGCGTGGTTGCCAAATATTTTTAATTAACAGCAGCGGCGAAATGGAATACTTGTTACCGCTTCTGATTTGAGAAGAAGTTGGAACTGGATTTAAGAAGTTATTGAAAAGTTATTGAAATTTTAATAAAAAAAAGTATAAAACTAATACATAGCTTTGCTTCCAGCTTTTATTAGAATGTAATTTCTTTCAAAGTTCAAATCCGCCTAGGATATGGTTTTCTTGATTGTTTTGAGAAAAAAATTTACCCACATAATCTATGATATTGATTTTTTTCAATAAAATATAAAAATATGCTAGTACTGTCATCTCTTAGGTAGATTTTCACTACGTTGGTTAGCTAGTCAGGTTAGGTTGGGTTAAGAGGTCGATCTGCGGGTCTGTTGTGGCACCAAAAATCGCTATAATATGTAATAAAGACCCTCATAAATCGATGAAGCGCTTTAAGCCTCGTTTAAGCTATATCTTCTGGTTCGCCGAAGGTTAGATTGTCGAGATGTTTCCATCTCAAACATGCAAAGGCTGTACAGTGAAGGAGAARGTGCATGGATGTCGCCTCTTCACCTTCATCCATACATATTTAACAACTGACATCCTGAGCCTTGGTAGTGTCACTCTGCTGTCGGAGTAAATGCTTACTTTCCTGAAAGCGGTTGCACCTCGGAGTATTACGTCTACTGCTAACTTAATAGCACCCACTTTTGCCTGAAAAACACTAGAGCGGTCCGTTCGCCTAAAGCGAAGCTTGACGGTGAGCTCCTTACAGAAAACTCAACCTTCAACCTTCCCACCTAGCATCGMGCCATCTTTGGAAAAACTCACTSTGCCTCTTCTCCAGCGACTGCTCACCGTCTACATAGCCCTCGTCGGTATATGAGCAGAAAGAAAGTCATTACAAGCAGTATTTGTGACCAGCCATCCCGACCAGGGTATTCAGAGCGAACTTAAAACCTGTTATGTTAGTATAGTTTCGAAGTGCCAGCCTGAAGAATAAAATCAAGAAACCCTCCAAAAATTTAGCATCAATCGGAGGTGTACACGACTCAATTGTGCAATTTAGTTGCCAATGGCGCTATCCAATTTTATTCTTGCGAGTTTATAAATTTTAGCAAGTCATTTAGCGCTCTCCATACGCCCATATACAGATAAAGTTGACTGGCGCCTTTGTGCAATTAATTTTCCACTTTGCATTTTCGATGTGCGTTGCCGCATGATTTGCAAATATTTCCCCCTCTGACTTTTATTTTGTTATTCTTAYGTTTAAACCACGCCAGCAAATCGCGGCTTAGCACTTTGAACGCGCGGATATTGCAAATAGCAAATATCTACAAAAATGCACCGAACCACATGCATCTGTATGTGTGTGTATGTGTGAGTGAATAAATGCACGATAAGTTCCATAAACAAATTCATAAAGAGATATATCTCGCTTGCCTGTCTGCCTGTCTGTCTGTTGTTGTTGTTGTTGTTGTTGTTGTAGGCTGTCAGTGCAAAAGCCAATGAACTTTAACTTCAACTTGTTGCATGCCGCCAGCTCGCAGGCGAAACACACACACAAACACAAACGCACATGCATACAAATATACATTTATTTACGTTCCATACTTAGCATACTTACATACATACATACATACAGACATGTTTGTGCATATTCACATATCATTGAGCAAATAATCATAAGCAAATAAAGCGCGCGCATTCGACGACGCAGCAACAAAACCAACAAAGCGACACACAGCAATTGCAAGCAATTCATAAACAAGCAGGCAAAATGAATTGAAGTTATAGAAAAGATAATAAAAACGAAAACGAAGAAAAAATGTCAAATTATATGAAATGCAGTGCAGCGAGTAATCAAGCAGTCAAAGCGTCAATCAGCCAGGCCAGCCAACTAGGCAGTTACTTTGCTTGCCAACTAAACGTCCAATCATGTGTGGGTATGTACTATGTGTGTGGTGTGAGTGCCTACCTCACACACACACACACACACACGCGCGCATAAATAAGTCGCGCTGAGGCTTTTGGGTCGCCACTGACAGCGGGTCCACATTGGCTGCGGTTGTGCCATGTTGTCAATTAATTCAACCCAATTTAAGTACTCCACCGTCAACTTCACTTCACTACCGTCAGTCGAGCGCTGCAGCAGTGATAAAAAGGGCTTGTTGTGCGCATACATACTCTCACCTACATATGTACATAAATACATATTTGCTGTTGTATGCAGTTATTTTTTACGTTGCGATTGAGTGCGAGCTGGTTACTTCCATACAAAATTCTCACAAATACATACACAGCTCGATATAC